AAGAACCCGCACGTTTTAATGATTGCATCGATTGTGTAGAGAGCTCAAATAAAAGGGAAAAGTAAACGCTAGGAAAATAATTCCCGTTTATACAGAGCATTGGAGAACATTTAGGAAGTACATATTTTAAATGTACTTCCTAAACAGCACATGGACAATGAGTATTATTCCCAGTCGTCGAGCATAAACAAGGAAAGGCTTACCTTTACTTTTGTTTTTAGTCCCTTTCCCATCAGAATGGTGGTTTGGCTACCACCATTGCTTTCCATGGAACTGATGGGTTGTTATCGAGGGTGAAAGACGATCAGACGTGAATGGTCGTGGTTATGATGATTCAGATTCAGTGATACGTACGAGAAGAGAATCGCACGTATGATTACGATGCCGATGCATGTATGATAGGTATGAGTCAGATGTGGTACGAGAAGAGAATCGCAACTACGCGCTTGAACCGCCCGAAACGTTATGTGCGACTCAAACTTTCAGCTTTCGGTTCCCACTTCGGCTATTTGTACGCTGCACAATGCCACCGAGGCAGAAGAACGTTTACGAAGCCCTTTTACAATATTTGGGAATACTAATAAATATATTTGATAGAAGTTCTAAAGTAAACTTACGTGTCTTTATTTACACGCCTGTATGTTCGTAACTAAGAGTATAAAATACTAGCAATGATTATTTAATGCACGAGTAGGGACAGGATGTGGTCATTTTGTAATTCCATAGCGCAAGTTTAAGTAATAACTAGTGATGCTACAACAGCACATACTCGCAACATTTGTGTCACTCCTATTTTTAGTAATGGTTACGTACAATTACTTATTCCATTATAGTTAGGTAAAACCAAAGTTTATGACACTGCATTCGTTTCGTAAAGTAGTAAAACTGAGGTAAAGCACTTCAGTGCGACACTAGTGCAGTGAAATAATGAGGAGTACCACAAAAAATGTTTGTATATCTTCTTTAGAAAATATTTGAGACTTCTTTGCCGTGTATCCTCCGCTTTTTCTTAAAAAAAACAGCTAAAATCTACATAAACTTACTTATATCAACAATCACATTTAATGAAATTGTGCTCCTTTACATATAGTAATATCTCCAAAGACTTCCAAAAACCTCGGAAAATTTCCATTCAGAGCAGCCAGACGGTGGAATTTTTCTTTAGGCAGCGGCTGAATTCGACTCACCTATCGAATTCGACCCAGTGTCGAAACTTTGCTAACGTCGGGACTCGCATTCTAAAATCTACCGGTGAAAGTCGTTGCAATGGAAACAGCAGAACTGCACTGTCTCTGAGAAAAACAGCCTTTTTTAAAATCTCGAACCACTCTTTATATCTCTGCAACTTTATGCGTCTTCCCAAGGTTTAAACCCCCGTTGAAGACTCAGAAGGTCATTAGCTTCATTTGTGAATGCACTGAATTTATGACGTCCGGCTGGCGGGCTAAGGTTCTGATGGCCTAAAAGTGGGAGTGATGGGCAACGAGCGCAACGAGATAATGGGGTGTCGTAATTTCCAACCCATACACAAATTTTCGTCTATTGTTTATATATGAAAAAATCGATTTTTCATCGGCAATACTTACTTTTCTCTAGATCGTGGATAAGAACTCGAGTATTATGGTTTCTCTGGCGAAAATCTTTTTCTTCGTCTTTCACAGGTTTACATGTATGAGTGCGCGAATCAGTTCTTTCGTTCGTCAAGTTTCGTTTCTACACAAATGTAAATTATCGTAATAAAACTGAAAATTACGCAAATACGTCTCAGGTTTTGAAAAACTGTACAAATAAAGATATAATGTTGCAAAATATATTGCATTAAGAATGAAATATCTAACTTCAATTTTAAAGTGGTAGGAAATTATTGAAAAAAAAACTTTGTAATTATTGATATTTCAGAGGATTCAATAAAACGCTACAATATTTAAGCCTGCTTTTCATCGTTTGAGAAAAATATTAAAAACAGAAATTGGAAAACTTTCAAAAAATTCTTACACTTTTTTTAATTGCCACGATTTTTCTCAAAATTATTAAAAACCCTCATATTTTGAAACAATGCACATTGTTAAAGATATTATTCACACATACACATCATTGTTAAATATATTATATTGAAGAACAAATTTCATTTAGAAACATCTGCCTCCAATATTGAAATTGTAGGTAGAGGTCAAACCAAATTTCAGTTTTTGCAGTTTTCAAAATTTCATAGACATTTTTACTTTTATAAGGAGCATTCGGCCAAAAAAATTACAAGAAAAATTGAGCCATTTTGAGAGTGGAAATTCTGTGCACCAAGACACAGACAGACGGAGGGACGGTAGAATAGTCTGAAGAAAACCACTTTTTTGGTATTAAAGACCTCCATAATGTGTATTGTGCCTGTCTCTACGAGATAGTTGTATACTATATATAGAGGAAGAATAAATATATTTTTTGTATCAGGGATTTGAAAACGTATTTTCCTATCAAAATGTCGACCCATTTTCTTACGACATTTTGTAACTTTCTTTGTATGGAGTGTAAAAAGAAATAAAAGTAATGAGATTCTTTGATGACACATTTTTAATTAAATATTGCGATACTGCATTTAATTTATAATTGGAACCAAACTAAAAATATTTAGTTTCGTGTAAAAGAACTGAAACAAATGCAAATTAATTTTTGTCTAATTTGCAATCTGTCACTAACAATTGTTATTGTCAGAAATAACATGCTTTTTTCTTTACATTACGAAGCATGCGTTTTCAAAATTTTGGTGTTTATATTTACGTTATCACTCATATAACGTGCTATTAATAAATCACAAAGTTTAGGTCACTTTAATGGATCATGGATACCATTTCGTTTGTTTAGTTCTCCTTTAATTCTTCCTTGTAGGTAGATGCCAAATACTTTTAATGTCTCTGAGCTTCAATAATCTATGAAACATGACTCTCATGTAGTAAATACGGCTCGCAAAATTCCACAGTATTGTTCGAGATTGGTGCATATATGAAAGGCGCGTTAGTTCCATGATCACCGAACTGCCACCATATGCTCCGGAGTACCCGAAGAGGCGATTAGCGAGAGCGCTCTCGCGTCTCATTTTCTTCCCAGGGCGCTTCTGGGAGGCTGCCGTGAAGACCAAGTAGATCGATCCCTTCTTCCCCCACATGATCTTCCGCTTCTTTGCACCGATGTTGCAACGTCGTATCTCATGCTATCATAAGAGATGTCAACGGCTATATTCGCCAACCCAAGCCAATTTTCTATGCGTTTATTAATTACCTGTTTACATTTTCCACTTACCATGTGGTTAAAGAAGAACGTAATCATGTCGCTCCAGATGTCTTCAAACCAAAGACTAAAAATCAACAATGTTAAAAGATGTGATGAGGTCCATAAAAATAATTTTATTACGGTCTTTAAAAAGAATCGAATTTTAGGTTTCAAGTCGGTTCATTTTTAAACAAAAGTTCTTAAACTTTGGACGTAATGTTATAAATCCATTTAATATTAGTGAACATTTTCTCTCCTTGACAAATGCAAGTGATGCGCCTGTATGCGCTAGGAACCGAGAGGATCGTTTTGATAATTGGGTCGCACCCTGCGCAAAACGATTGTTCATATAAATGTGGTGTAAATGTCCTGTACTCCCTTTAATATACATTTCGTCCAACTAACTTTTCTTTGCTGTTTTAAGTGATAATACAAGTATGTACGTAAATGTACTCCTTGCGCCCGTTAGTATTTGAATTTTGAAATCGCGCAACTTCATTTAGATATTATTATTATTATTATTATTATTATTATTATTATTATTATTATTATTATTATTATTATTATCATTATTATTATCATTATTATTATTATTATTGCTAATGTTATTAATAAACTAAATTTACGACTGAAAATGTCAGGTGCCAGATAATATAAAAACTATTCCCGGTTGCAAGTAGCTTCCTAAGGAACAGAATAAGTGACTATAGTTGCCTCTACAATACTTGGGGCAAGCAATGGGCGCCCAACCCTATTTTTGGTTTTGATACTGCGTTTGGCCTCAAATTGTGTTTTGTTATTTTCTTAAACTTTGATATGACATCACGTTTAAACACATCAAGCACACTAATGTAAAGTGCTGATGATATTCAGATCAACAACATAAAAAACAACACATAATTCCTAGTATAATTTGACATGGTTACGTGAGCTAATAATATTGGAAAATGTATCTTACTAATTCTTCAGCAATCTCTTGAGCGAAAACCCTGTTCAGCATAAAGAAGCAGAGGGGATTCGAATGAGTAATTTCCAAAATATCAGAGGTTTAATCAAAGTCGCTTTTATATCTTACAGATAAGCCCGCTTTCTACTTTTCGAAGAAAAAAAATTAAGAAAATAAAGTTTGTATGTCTTTGCAGTCAAACCTCGGCTTCCAATTAGCAGGCAGCAAACTAGACCGTCCAACCCGCAGACACAGCTTTTAATGCCTCTCTTAGTATCCATGAAGCAAAAAAAGTATCTATACTCGAAAACGTTTGAGATTAGAGGAACGTTTCAAGAGATCATATGAAGCATTTGTGGCTACAAACGCATTAAATTATTATAAATCTACAAAACTAATCAAACTCTGCAGAGGTTAAATTAATTTTGAATGACTCGCCATAACTAATGAGTGGGGGAAAGGGACGCTTATACAAAAATAACATAAATACATTGTATACGTATGAATTTCATTAAAAAATACATTTTCAATACAAATTTTACATAGCATTTTGCGCGTCCTGCTTGCTTTGGACTATGTAATGTATTTAATAAACTCTTGTGCGGTCCGGTTACGTTGTCATAATGATATTTCAAAGAACGTCGTTCCTCTTTTTCGCTACGGCAGAGATTGAATCCATTGCCCTGATCAGGTAGCAGATTAGAACGGCGTGTCATCACTCCAGACATCGGTCGGGACCTTAAAATAGGCAGGCGGTTTTACGATGGCATCCGTCCCCGGCGAAGGCAGTTTTTCACCTTCTCATGCAACGAGCACCATCTCTCACGGTGGCAATTATCAGTTCAATGGCATCAGGAGCATGCCGAGAGGCTGCGAAGTCTCTACGAACGTACAAGCAGCCAGTCTGGAGCAGCGATTATCTACACCCGGTCATATTGCGGTTCGCTGCAGAATTTATTCTGTTGCCTAGCTCAGAAGAACAGTTGCTTTACCGGCTCCGTTAGCTCAGATTCAGCATTAATTTTTTTTTCTGAAGCGATTCTAACCTCGATATCTTAAGGGTGGAGTCTCAACAGTGTCCGGTTTTTAAAACTGGCTATAAAGCTAGGTCGAATTCAGCTGCTATCTGGAGGACACTTTTAGAGGCTGGCAGCTCTGCCTGGTAGTTTCATGTGATTTATTCGATCAATACTAAGCGAATACCGGAGAAATTCCTTAACGAACGGGCCACGGGAACCGCACGATCTATCCTGTCTCTTCCTTGTTCTTTTCTATCACCTTGCACATACACTTACATGCACTATACTAGCACACATGACGTGATTCCAGTCGGAAGCTTAGAGATTGTCCCTGGTGGGGAAATGTCCCTATGGAAGACGCACCTAATCATCCTGACGTGCAGGTCGGCACCAGATCTCTCAAGAACACCGCCATCTCCCTCACTACACTAACAGGACTAATGACAATAGCAGTGGACGTGCCCGGAACAATCACTAAACCAATCAACATCTGCTCCACGGATGCTGTTTCAAATCGTACTAGTGTTTCCGTGGACGCCAGACGATCCTTCCTCTCTCTCTGAAGTCTATGGACTAAGTCTATGTGCATCCTGCAATAGCTATGCGTGGAACGCTTCTCACCAAGAGCAGCTAAATGCGCGCCCGGTCTCTCAGAGGTTTGTAACAACAGTCTATAAGATCCTCGTAATGCTGCGCACACAAACGCTTCTCGACTGGAGAAGATGAAGTCTCGTCCATTCTCTCTGAAGTTGATCAAATATAGAAAGTTACGTAACCACGTTCGCGAATCACCTCGCGCACGTGTTGCGAATACATGCTATGAGCGAAATTTTACAGACGTTTCAACCAGGCTTCGCGATGTTTTGTTCATACTTCGCGATGTTTCGCGCACGCTTCGTACTTTCGTTCGTACGTTTCGCGCTCAATTAGTTAGAACAAAATAAACAAGCACAGGAAACCCGTATTTTTCGCGCTGTGTGTTAAAATATAATTTTGCTGATAGATTCTCGACCAGCAGGGGTAGTCACTCTCCTTCGATATCGGTCTCTATCATTTGTCTGATTTGGAGTCCCACGGGTAGTAGTAATTGGGCGACGTCCAATAAAATTTTTAATTTTCGGCATCGAAACATTTCGGCCTTTATGTTGAAACGTCGTACCCCAATGTGGTGAGTCCTTGCAAATTTCAAGTAGTTGTCTTTGAACACGTAGAAATGTTTGAGAGGTATTCCTGGCCAGCGCTGGAATTTGTGAAAATGGCACCAATCTACCTTTTCCCTGTAAATTCTTGGCCCTCCGGGAGACGCCGCGTCGTTGGCTGAGGCCGACGTTTCGCCTGATATGTGACAGGGTTCTTCAGGGCAAGCCCAGCAGACCCCTGTCCTGAAGAAGCCTGCGACATGTCAGGTGAAACGTCGGCTATTCCAGCAAGAATTTTAAAGAAAAAATGTTGAGCTGTTTTATGGAAAATGTTTGAAAATATTGCAGAGGCGTCATGTAAAGGACACCAGAAAATGTTAAAGATATTTCAAATCCTCAGAGTCTCGAGTTTCGTCAGAGCTATCGTGGAATATCAGAGGAAATATACCGTCTGCGGGGAAGGCTCTAGTTACGTTCATTAACGCACACACTGATGTCCAAAAAAGCAAATTTTTTGTATCAGTACCCTAAACGTATATTGATGTCATAAGCTCACCGTTTTTTTATCAGCATTACGTAACTTTTGTTATACTACATATTTTAGTGTGCGTGAAAGTAGAAACTTTATTTGTACTTACCAATTAATTTCCAGTAATAATTTTGGCGTCATTTCAGAGAAATGTTATCTCCGTCATAAAGGGCGACACCCAAGCCTTGTTAGAACGCTATTAACGGATCAAATTTATCATGCCGTTTTCTAAATGAAACGCTGCGAGACCAGATGATGAAATATAAGCACAATTCATAATTCAAACTCAAAGCCATAAGCCATTAAGGATATTGTCGTTAAAATCCCCAAAACTTCCATAATAATAAGACTGAACTGTGAGCGAGGCATCATAGACGTATGTGTCAAGTTGCCATCACCGCCTCCGGAATCGATTCGTCGGATGACTCGTTGCACGGAGCCGACCGCCGGCCTTCACGGCGACTCAACCATACGCCGCAGCGCTCACTCAATTTGCGTTGTCATGTAACATCGTCAATGGGTGGTGGAAATGGCCGATTCAGACTTCAGGGCCGACTGAGTGCTTTGCTCTGATGGCACGTAATACGGGTATTATCGTAATTCGTGACATATTCGGAATGTGCGATATTGTCGGTCTGCCTGATCCGTCCCTCCCGGCCAGCGGTCAGGTAAGCTCTCCGCTTGTGTTAACCCTTTAATTCAGTAATTAGGCGCTCAAAAAGCAGTCGCAATCATTAATTGTCCAGAAACACCACTCCGTGCGGGCAAATGAAATTAATTGAGTATACAGTTTGAATTTGCAATTTAATCAGCATTATTTATTAAGTTAAAGTACATAACTTCCAGCAAATTTGTTGCTTTTAGCTGCCACATCACCAGTGCAGAGCATCTGATACTAAAAATTGATTTTAACAGGTAATTATTTACATTAATACTACCGCATCCCTCAACCAAGTGAAGGCCAATAATGCTCCGAGTTTCAAGCCCTCTTCCCACCCGCGTTGATATATCATACGGGGGATAACTCGCCTTGTCATTTCGCTTTCCTCATGAAACAGTTTTGATGGCGCACATAATCTAGTATTCAAACAATTTACACGTTCTCTCATTTCGAAAATATATTTCACATTGTATTTCGCAGAATTCTGAATTTTGAAAATGCAGTGACGTATTTATTATGCCGGTTTTCATGAGTACAAGTTGAAGAAACCTAAACATCTTGCAATGTAATATAAGACATGCATTAACTTTGAGAATGAAACAACCATCTACTTTTTTAAATTGGATCTAATGCGGGATATATTTACCATATAGTAGGAATGATAATATCGCTTATATACCTGAAATTTGTTTCGAATATGAGTCAATTAATTATAATTTTAAAACACTTTTTATATTTAAAGAAAACATTCATTATCCATGTCACAATTGAAGGTAGAAAATCCATGGTAAGTAATAATAATTAAGCTATTATAGTTATGTGGTGCTTCTGGGAGTATTGAAAAAAATATTTGTGCTATGCAAGTTTACAAGAAAAAGAAATTTTGAGCATAATAGAGAACAACTTGGTTCTCCCGCCCTTGGGCATAGAGAATTTTATACTAGCCTCACATTAGCATAAAATAATTGTCATAGGTACTCTATAACTGTTTTTAAGGAATTATCTACCAGACTTTGTTACAGAAATGTTCTTCACCAACCCTAGACATCTTGTGAACGCGAATGGGCAATTCATCAGTCTTAACTCCCAAGTATGCTTAGAATTTGTTCCTATTTCCCCGCATTTTGGATATTTTTTCCACGCATTTGAATACTGTGATTCTTAACCGGATAATTTGGAAATTAGTAAGATTCCGACATATCTGTAACATATAATATATACATTTCACGAGTAATTCCATTTTCAGATATAGTATAAAACATTGATTGCAAGATAATAATTTACCTTTGAAACACATTTTTATCAAGTGACAGTGCAATGAGGGAACAGAATCCGCAGCTCAACTGTGTTAACGAAAACTCTGCTAGAAGAAGAGTACCAGAGATAGGAAAAATTACAATAAATATTTGAAAGACCAGCATCCGTTCCGAGAAAACACATTTCCAGCGAGATTAAATAAAAGACAGGAATGCATAAAATAAACGTCAGAAATTTTTAACTGGACAGCTTGAAGCCCTCAACAAAGACGTTAGGAAACTTCACATTCCAGTAGTGCGTCACTGTCAGCAGACGGGACGAAACGGTATGTCGGGAGGAAGCAACGGAATAATAAGCAGGGGAAGCAAATAAGAAAGGCTCAGGGGAAGAGAGAATTCCAACGACATAGTATGGTCGAAACGTCAGGCGACCCGTGTCTAGTCCATCAACATTTCTTCGAAAGTTTCTGGAACATCGAGCTTCAATTCCGAATATGCTTCTTCACTCAATGAAATAGCAATGATGTATTTTTCGAGAGCATTTTCTCTCATTTAAACCATTGATTTTTTCTTGCTTGATCTACAACATGAAATAATTCAACAAACCTCTTACGACTTCAAAAACTCTTGAAACATTGAATGTAAACGTCGAACTAATTTCATCTTATTATCTTCTTTTCGTACATATTTCGTGTACATTTTGTACTGCTGAAAGACGTAAAATTAAAATTCGAGGTAATGAATGAAATAATGGTAAACTGATTGACGTCACAGCAGAGAAACTGCATGATTAATCTCTCATAAAAATTGCAGCCACGTTTTGACGTCTTTAAAAACAAACAGGATGAGTAAACTAAATCACAACACCCTTTATGTATTTTTTATAGTAAAAGATAAGATGCAGTTGATGGTGCACACCGAAAATAAATCTTGTTATATATTTCGTCTGTGCTCTATTTTTAATATAAAGATATAGGGTGAATTTTTTTCTTAAATAGAAATAAAAGTTTGGTTTGACAGAGGGGGCTTAAGAATACAATTTCAATGATGTGCATATCTTCATACTTCTTTGACTATAGAGAATTAAGTAATAAATATATTTTGTTGCTGAAAATGAGGTGGTCGTACACCTGATACTCGTATTCACTTTATTTGTATATAATCTATGTTAAATTCCTCATAATTGCTAAGCGATGTGTGAGAGCGTATTTACGTATATAATATAAATTTCAGAAAATCATGAACCCTAAAAGGTTAAATCGAATTGTGTGATTATTCATGTCATAAGAATGATTTGAGATAATTTATTAACATCAATCGGTTGAGTTCTCTGTTTGTTCACGCTAATATAGTAGTTCATATTATCATTGGATGATAAGATACGTGGCTCTTCTGTAAGATTTAGTTTACACGAGTTATCAACTTATTTTCGTGGGGCAGTCGTTTTACCTCCAACCCTGCTCGGCCCACTCTTGTAAGAGGCTGTAAGGTAGTAATCTGGCTTTGGGATCTCACTAATTTCCAAAATGAAAATTATTCACTGATCACATCGCCATACATTAATATAGAATATTACTTACGTAAAAAATCAATATTAATATAATAATAGTAATATAGAATAAATATAGTAATATAGAATATTACTTACTATAAAAAATCAATATTAATATTCGTAACAATAAAGCGTAAATTACCAAAATGATAATATTAATAGAAAACATAAACAGAATTCTAGAATGTCAACATTCGTTACGTAAAACCCCGCGAGTGACCTCCAAGGTTCACCGGATATAAGTGCGGTTACTACATGAAACATTTTCTGGTAGATTTGCAGTGGAGTAAAAGAAGAGGCAAAAATCACAGCTGACAATGGACACTTTGAATGCATGCTTGAGTGAAGTGTAGAGCAACGTTTTATAACGTATTTGTTTATTTGTACAAGACGAATAAATACTAATTAATTGTGGCTGAAACGAATTATTATTTTTTAAATAAATGAGCATTGAGACGTCACTCGTTCAAGATCACTTGCACGGGTTGGATCTTTCCGGAGACATCGAAACTCCGCATCCATCGCCGGCGTGCCTCCGCTCCTTCGCACCGCTCGTGTTTCGGCGAGATCTAAAGACCTCCTGAGCAAGCGCACTGCAACGGGGGTATTGTTACTACAGCCGTGCACTTCCTGTGCGCTACCAACGACCATTTGTTTTCATGAATAATGTTGGAGTGGCGAACGTGCTCTCTTCAATTCTTCATCGTTCTTTTAATTTGAAATTTCTGTTCAATTTGCTTGATTGCCTTTTTCACCTCTCGTGGTTTACGATTCAGATTTTGGGTATAAACGTCTGACGGCTCCAATCACTTCACAACTGACACTTTTTATGTAACTTTCTATGCACGAGAATGGGCGAGTCAGGTATTGAATTGTTTAAAATTTCTTTTTATTATGCACTTTCATAGCAGAAATAAAAAAAAAAATTAACACGAAAATTCGCCTAAAAAACGAAGGTAGCAAGCTAAGCTACATAATATCTTTGCACTAGAAAAATAGTCAGGGAAGAAATATTATGTGTCCCTGTATAGCCCCAGTTTACTATCGATTGTACAAGAGACATTTTCGTATTTTTCACAGTTCAGAAGATTAAAGGGATGATGCGACATAGTTGACACCTCATGTATAAATGTAAAAACGTATTTTTAAAACAGAACGACTTTTCAGTAGATACCTTGTTGATTACTGACATCCGTGAACATATTTCATATGAACTTCACTGGCACATTTTCTATGAAAAATATTTTAAATATTACCCCTTCCGTCTTGACTTGCTCGAAAACTACATATTTATTCACAAATATGAGTTGTCCTCTCATGTCTTTAGTAGCAAAATTAGTACCTAATCTAACACGTCATTTTGCAAAGTACTTTATAATGATAGCAGATCAATTTGTGGATCCATTGGCAAATTATCTTCTTTGAGCTCAACAAGCAGACTGGCTTTCTGCACACTCCACATCCGTTCTGATTAAGTGCTTTGAGCTTACCGTATCACGGCACACACCGGTAAATAGTTTTCGATGTGAGTTTCACATCTTGATGTAGGACCAAATTTAGTAGAATTATGAATTCGACTCTCTCGTTGAAAAGTATTGGCGTGTACATTCTAATCTTTTGCGAATACTTCTTATTTAAAATACAGTGTTTTATCGACAAAAGTGTCCAACCATGGAAGTATATATTTTTTCAGTTAATATTTATCTATGCAACCCCCATGTAACAATCACCCTTAACTATTCATCCAATAAACATGTTTCTGGCAACGAATACAAAACTAATATTCGTGAAGTTGTATCTGTCTTCATTAATAAGTATTCTCAAAACAAATTCTGCACGTACCTATGGTTTTAGAAACACTCTAATCCAAGCATTATTTTCATCTCATCTAATTGTTTTCAAAAAAAATTAAACTGATAAAACTACAACATTCCTGTGATTAATAAATGAGATCGAGTTATTGAGAAATTGAGTTTGCATGGATTTAATACACAAAAAATCACCCGTTTTGAGAACTACTTATTCATTAACGCAAAACACCGGAGAAATACTAAAAAAATTTAAATGGACTGAGCCTAAACCAGGCAACGAGGCTATTTAAGTTGGCCTTCTTCGATCAGAAGCGTCGCTCATTGCTTGGCTTCCGGCCCTGCGCTAAAGGGCGTGCGGCGGGCAGCAGACGCGCGATCGGCCGGCGGCGGCGCCACCGCACAGTACGTACGTCACGCCTACGTGCGACGCCGCGCTCATGTAAGATGAATAAATGCATACATATATTTCCTAGCGTACACGCGATATTGCATACATGCATTCATGGGGGCGGAGCAGCTGACAGAAAACAAGCGACCCTCCCCTCTTCCCTCTTCCCCTCTCCTCCCCACCTCCGTCCGTGCCTCGGCCCCCACCCCGCCAGCCGGCGGCGCGTCGGGTCGAGCTCGGGATTTGAATCCCGTACTCACCGCAGGCACGACCCCGCTCGCTTCCATTACTCCACCACGCACTCCCGTAATAATCATAATTGCGACAATAAATAGCGCTGGCGTCGGTCGGCGGGAAATGGCGGTTTGCAGCGCTGGAGGGCCTCAAAAAAAAGAGAGACGACCGGGGGGATGGAGCTTGGGCGGGAATGGGTCGGACGCGGAAAAGGGGGGCGGGGCGGGGGAGGAGAGGCGAGGCGAGGCGAGGCGAGGCGGGGCGGGAAATGAAAAGAGAGGGAATGAGTGAAACATGTGTGCGATTGCGGCTGCGGCGGCGACATACACATTCGTCACGTACGGCAGAAGAACTTGCACATGCAAGGCTCGCGTCCGTCCTCGAATTAAAAGAGAGAAATAACGTAGAAAAATAGCTATAAACCGCATTGTTATTATATACTAGCAAAACAAATTTATGTGGAGAAACCTGGCGCACATTATACTTCATTTTTACTTTTTACGACAGAGAGAATATTTGAATAGAGATGTTATGAAAATAGAATAATAGGGTTTACATCATATAGATGAATGCATTTTGAATCGAATATCGGTTTATTACGCTGTACGATGTGTTATTATCTCTCAAACACAGAATTATATTTTTAAACCGTTTATTGAACTTTCTTTGACATTATCGAATGACGCAACTTTCATAGAATATTCCAAGAATATTCTAAGTTCTCTCTCTGGTCGTGGAAATCCTCAAAAGCTTCTGCACACAGTGCGATTACGAGACGCATGCGGAACGTAAATTATTCATTGCATTTATGTGGTCTTCAAACCTGAAAAGACGCGGCGAAACATATCGTCAACCAATTCAGTCGTGCTGTTTTGATCGCAGTGGGGATTCTAAAGTCAGGAGACACGCAGTAACGAGCGGCACAGACAGCTGCGTTTCGTGACGGCGCTGCCAGCTTCGGGGACGGGAAAGGGGCGGGGGAGACTGAAAGGAGAGATGGTTGCGGAACGCACGATGTCGGCTTACTGAGACGAAGAATCCAGACCCCAAATGAAAGGTCGGAGGAAAGTTCAGAAGGACACACGGTCGCCAGCGGGGCACGGACGAGTATGGCGGACAGAAACTGCAGATGAGGGCAAGGAAGCAAGAGCACAGCGAGGTGATGTGAAATGGCAAGCAGGAATGCCAACGCCGAGGACCGAAAACTTCTAGGAATGGTTCTCTAACGAATAGACACGGCACGTCGGACGTGTCAAAAGACGTAGCAACATGGAGTTGCATAGGGAAAGGGTAAGGGACGGGGGGCGTATTGCCGATTCGACGACTTGCCCCGGGAAAAGGGGCGCGAACGGAAGGAGAGCATTCACAAAGAGGAGCGCGACAGAAGCAGGGATGACGAGCGGTGTGGTGACAGAAGCAGGGATGACGAGATGTGTCGCGACAAAGCGTCTTTCGCTACACCGGGAAGATGAAGACTCATTTCATTTTTATAAGTAGTGCGGCGAGATGCTGGAACGGCTTTTCGTTTTTTTACAAGGTGGGGATTTTTCCTCGCGTAGACGAGGGTGAGGATGCAGAACGCCGCATTACGAGAGGACGGCGAGGGGAGGACGGCGCGGAGGTGGGGTACGCCGAGTGTGCAGTCACGGACCCTGCTTTCGGCCGTCACTTTTGTCCCCACTAGAAGACGGCCGTCGTTCTTTGTTGATAGTCTGGGCGTCGTAGAGCCTCAAGGAAGCGAAGACCATTGTCTTCGGCGCTTCTCTGTTAACAAAAGTTATTGCACGCTGAAGTTGACCTATTCTGCAGTGACAAGAAGGCTAAACAAAAACGTGGGGCGAAGGAAGTGGGTGCAAGAAGCTTCCGCTCTCAACTTACCACTCTGAAATCCGTCAGATGTGGCGAGTCCCGGCAGAACTAGAAAATTCCTTCTCTTGGTACGCGTCGGGGAGGACGGTGGACTGGGAGCAGCAGGGTATAAAAAGAAATTCTTGCAGTTGCATAAAATCAACTCGAGTCACTAAAGTAACCTGACAGAAGAGGAGCGCATAATGAGAGTTCAACTTCATGAAATATAAGAAGACGTAGATAAGAGAGAAGACGTATTCGGTGTAACAAAACCTGATGAAGTAGAAAAATTATGAAAACCCTATTAACTTTGTGAGGGAACACGATATCTTCCAAAAAGGAAGGCAAACTGAAAAAATTTAAAATCTAATGTTGATTCGGGAAAATTCGAAGAGAAATGGAAGTAACGTTTACGTAAACGCACTTGCGTTCAGATAGTAAAGGAAGAAAACGAAGAACGCATTTTATAACTTTCAAAAAAGGAAGCACAACAAAGATTTTTTCTTATTGAAAATCATTACCGCGTAATCAGTTCTATTAATGATGAGATATTTACTTACTGAAAAAAAAAGCAAAATTGCATATGTTTTTTACTCTCATGGAGTCAGCTCTTTTCGCATCATGAGAGATTAATCCAGTTCGAATTATTTACGTCCCATTGATGTAAAATACCTCATCTAGTTTGCCTTTATAGATGCTTTTATTTTCCCCATGCGATTTCAGTAAATCATACCATGTGACATTCCTCTAATGTACCGCCCGAAGAGATCCGTCCGTATCTCACCATCAAGTAACACCACAGCACACAACTCTCCATTTTATGTACTAGCAGAGTATTGCTCTTCCTCTACAGTTTCGTTTCATAGAGTTACGAGATATGCTTCACCGTTGGGGACCACAAAGATAACGACGTCCCTAGGTATTCTGTTTCAAGAGGTAGAAGTCGACTACACTGGTCACTCCACTGCAGGGATTAGGGGTTCTGATAACACTTCGGCTCATGCAGTTGGGAAGGTGCAGTGCGATGCAGAAGCCATTGCGGTGCACAGTGGATAGAAATCACCTCAAAAGTGGGTAAGGCAGATTTTCTCTAGTTAATTATCCACACCTTTAATCATACATTTTTTAAAAGGTAGATTCAACATATAGAAGAGATATATGTGGTTTTCGTTACTTCAAAGGTGTTTATGTTCACTACCAACATTTATTTTCAGAGAGATATAATCGAATTTCACATGTAACAATATTTTAGAATCACATAACAAATTTGAAACACTGCAAAACGTTTAATGTCGTTTTTTGCGTGTTCTCGATGATACATAATTCGGAGTTATGATTCTTGATGTAAAAATTAATCAATTACATTGTATCATCATTCCATGAGCTATGAAATGATTTAAAATATGTATTTTACTAATTATCTTTATATATTGCGGTAAAGCTCACACAATATCTACAAAAAGGATCACATATTTGAAAAGGATATGGCCAGTGCTATGAAATAGGTACTGTAATTTTTCAACATAAATACCCAGAGAAAAAAACTAAATTTTCTAGCATCACATGAATTTCCACAATAAACAACTCATTACCAATTCTTTTATTTATATACATGCTAAATTAGTGGCAACGCAACCTATTCTATCACAAAACGGTAGGTAATAATATTTATTACTACAATATTTACTCAATTTAAATATGAACACAACACAAGATTAGTTAGTGTTTATTTAACAAACAAAGAGATAGCTAGAAATTAAGTATCAGACATGAAAGTCTCGGGCTGTCATCTCAACGAGCTACAAAATGAATCTCTCTTAAGAATGCGTGTCCTCAAAATGCCCGGAATTGTAATAATTTCTCGTGAGATTCCACAGGGGTCAAACACAGCAAAAACACGAGTTCTGAAAATCCTTCCTTTTCTTTTTTTTTTCCACTTTCTTTTCCTCCTCGTTTGGCCCGTCGCGGCGGGGGGCGGGGGGGGGGCGGGCCGGCGCGTGCTCACCAGTACTGAGGCGGCGGATAGCCGTGGGCCACGCACGGCAGCGCCACGTCGTCCCCGCGCCGCACCACCACCAGCGGCGAGCTGCGCTGCACCAGGCGGGGCGCCGAGGGGCCCGAGGGCTCTGCAACACGCACGCGCCGCACTGCAGTTACCCGCGGACAACGCTCGCCAAGCACCGTGCGCCACACACACTACACTCCATACACCAAATACTGTCGTTAAGAGGGCAAAGTTTCAATTTTGCCCTTCGCCTCACCTCACGCACGCACGCACACCATGCATCATGCACCAAACACTGAATACTATACACCATCCACTAAACATTCGAGTGGGCGTCAAACGCGCTAAATTGCAATTTTTTCCTCACCTCATATTTATAATGCGACACGAAATGAGGGGGAACCATCTTTCAGAGTAGTTAAACATTGTTGACTCGTGCCACCAAATACTTCAAGATTTTAGTTTTTTTTCGATTATCATTTTTGTTCGTAGCAACTGTATTGATAATAGTGTTTTAGTGTTTTTAAGTGGTCTTCTTCCTACTAATAATTTTTTTACGGGAAAGTAATAATTAAATATAAATTATTTGTTACATTTTTATAAAATACATGTGTATTTTAATCTAAAGAATAACTTTGCCTGTACCGCCCGATAGACATGCAGGTTTTGGTACTAAAGTCAATTATACAATAATAATTAATAATAATAACAACAATAATAGCAATAATAATAATAATAATAAGAATCATAACAATAATAATAATAATAATAATAATAATAATAATTATAATAATAATAATAATAATAATAATAATATTTCGCATACACGTTGATGAATTAGTGGTATGAAATATTTATTTTGAGAACTGGGTAATCAACGACCAACAGACGTCAGTGCTTATAGGTTAAAATAAGGGAAAGGAAAGATGTAAAAGGTAAAAGAGGGGGGAAAATAAAAAAAATATTACGATCAAGGAAGTTGTAAGTCACAATAATCCAAGGAGATGGAGGAGAAAGTTACTAAGAAAGACGATACGAAGAGATGAAATGTCTCATTGACGACAAAACTGTAAGCGAGACGGAAAGAGAGAGTGATGATAAAGAAAAAAAGAGCACGTATGAGACGCAACTCCACCTGTCTCTGGGATCCCACCCGGCATTCCAGACGCTGCTCCTCCAGGGGTAAGAGTCCGCAACTGCTAACTCGCCACCCGTCTCTTCGCTACCTTACGCCGTGTCCTCGTCACAGACTCCCACTTCAAACTTCCTCAATGACCCTTGCCCGCCCCTGTGTCTCTGTTCTCCCCGGACGCTTCCCTTCCGTCACTTACTGCCACTAGCAGTTCCTACCTCTCTGATTGTCTCGAGTTCCTCCTCGGGTTGGGGTTCTGAATTCAGTTGCTTGGTTTCACATATCATGTTGTTCCCCCTTCAAGAGATTTACGTGGGGTCTCTTCCATTTCTAGTTACTCATCTTTTGATCTCTACATCTCGTGTAGTCATACACTTTTCAATTCTTCTTTACTGTTTTTCATTTTAACACCCAAGAATTTTTCTCAGTGAATCACTCATACACAATTATGACCAATAAAAATGTTAGGGCTCTATAGTGCCCCAACTCAGTTTTCCTTATGGCCACTATATTATAACACATCACTCCCCTCATTTTCTTTTCAAGGAGCAATTTTATCTTGAGCTTCATGAACAACTTTCTCGTACAGTCTCTCTCATTCTCCTTATTGCATCATCACTCTCAACTCCCTAATCTTCTTAATATTTGGGTACTATATTTTCTTCTCATCTCTTACTCGGATTTCGTCTCATTTTCTTCTACTTCTTCTTGTCTCAGTATTATTTTATTGCTTCTCTGTGTACACCCGCATCCCCCTTCAATGTCTGATTTTTGCCTTCCATCCTCTCTCTGTCTCTCGCTTTCTCTCTCTCTTTCTTTCTTTCCTTTCTTTCTGTCTCTCTTCCAGCCACAAATTGCTTTCGCTTTAACTCTTTTCTTCTTCCTCTCCGACTTCGCCAGTCTCATCTTACCTCTGCTCGTTATCATTCTCTCCTCCCTTAACGTGTGCGCCCATTCATCTGCCCAGGGAAGACCCTGTGTGCACTACATTTTGTCTCACGCGTCGTGTCGTCCCCGCCAGCATTCCTTCGCCCCTCCGACCCCGCCTGCTCTTGTCTCGTGCTCCCGGCGACGACACTCGACCTCCTCCCCCCACCCTTCCGCCGCGGGTCCACGACCCCGTCGACCCGCCGATCCTCGCGCGCCCCGTGGCCGCGCGGGGGATTAAACCGCACAAGAGGGAAGAATCCCACGGGCCGCCTGCTCATTCGCTGCAAGTCCTCTCGTTTTGTTTCCGCAAGGTCAAGCGCTCGGGATCTGAATGCGCCGGGAGACGCCGCGCCGCCTCGCACGCTTTGTTTGCGTCGCCCGCTTTCACTTTCATTATTTCGTGCCGCCCTCGAAAATAAACAGACCTCCTCGCCCGGGCGGCAAACATTTTAAAAACATTTTACGCGCCGGAATTATACAGAAGAAATCTAGATAATAGAGAAACAACAGAAAAGTGGCCAACGAAATTAGGTTAAAATATTTAAAGGGACGCGTTCGGTACATTGGGTCGCTAGCATAGCGGGGTTCATGTTGATAAATCAGCGTAATGAAAAGGCTCCACTCTGGCGGAAGCTCGATCCTCTGTCGTGTAAAGCTGGAGACGTGCTTTGTGTTTTCATTCGTGCTTGGGGCTCGGGCTTTTCTGCCTCTCTGTCTACCCCCGCGCTTTCTCTTTCTTTCTCCTCCCTTGGCGACCTCCAGATTGCTCTCCTTAACCTGGAGACCCCCTGTCTCCGTGATCTCCAACTAAACTATGAGCTCTTCAAACCACCGCCACTCGAGGTGCTGAGCTCGCAAATAAACGAAGATCCTTCTCTCAAGGTTCTATTTTTCTTCCTAGTTCGTAATCGAGAACGGATTCGAGATTCATTAATATACTTTCACGCACTCGTACTAACGTTGCTATTTACTTAGCGTACGAAAAGTGCCATTTTCTCAAATGTTTATGACATTATTTTTTCGTTCTTCCCTTAGAAAATCCAAGTCCAACAAATTTAACCTATAGAGAACTTACTCATTTTTATGTTAAAATATTGATGTAAAGAATATCTTATTTTTCCCTACAAACACAAAAAAACCTTAGACAAAAATGAAAAAGAGTAATTTTCCCTTGTTATAAGCTCTATCGAATTAAAGAAATCTGTAGTATCATGTAAAACATAAAATATCTTGTTCATCACGTTTTTGTTTTAGGAAAAAACAATGACTAGATATTACGGTAGGCAATTATTGCATACTTCCGTCTCGCTCATTTTCAGTTCTAGGATGTAATGTATGAACTTGCATATGTTCACCTCAACCACTTTTTTTATTTTTCTTACCTCCAACACTACTCAAGTCAAGGCGCTTTACACTTCACCTCCCCCTCCCCCCAATGGATCTCTGAAGTCCAAATCATCTCACATGCATCCATACAATTTTTGTTTACTACCACCATTCCTAATGGATTTAGCTGTCGATGTCAATTTGTGGCTCCTCTCTTCGTCAGACCAAATCACCTTCGATTCCTCGCCACGTCATGCGTTAGTAGTTCCTACTAATCCCCAGCAGTTCCCATGTCACTCGCCATATTTCCACGTACCTTTACTTCCCAACAAACCCATTTGTTTCTCATTGAGTCGACGACAATAGCGAAAATTCTTTCCAAGGTGTCCACAGAAAACTTTTTGCATCCATTCGTACCTTAACGAATAGTCTTGTGTGTCGCCCTGTAACGTTTGTGACAGTAACTGCACGCTAACAAATCCTCCTGCACGCGGCACCCATTGCTCATCTTGTTGAGTGCACTCGAAGGCAAGCCCTCGGTTGAAATGGGATATTGGATTTAATCCCTCTCATTGACGCACTCATTTAAATCCATTTTCATAATTTGATTGGGAAATTATGAAAATAGAAATATTCATTGGCAATTTTTTTTTTGTTTTGGAACAAAACATTATGAAATGTACTCCTTTCAATTCCCGTGGGCACGCAGTTATTCTACATTCATAAAATCGAAGAACTTGTTGAGTCAGTAAGATCCGATCACAAAGTTATCATAAGTTATTTGTTCATAAGTTAAGTTATAGTTATTTCACTTATTGTTTATAAGTTATCATAAGTTAAGTTCAAAGTTATCATAAGTTAAGTTCAAAGTTATCATAAGTTATTTGTTCGCATGCTATATATTACTGTAAAGAAAGAAAGCAGCTTCAAATACTGGGCATTGTCCTAAATTGAAGATTCTTTTATAAATTTCATTGTAAAAATGACACAATTTCAAACATTTTAACAGAGGCATTCACTTTTCCTTGCGAACCAACATGATTTTTCAAAGATGTGAAAACATTTTTAACTCATGGTACTTCGCGGAATATAGAAACACATAGGTGAACAAAATCGAACAGATAAGAAATGTTATTGTATTCTAAAACAGTGTATCATCTCTTCCGTACCTTTTGCATGGCAATTCTAGTTCTAAAGAAATGAGTAGTATTCGTAAATGTATTAATACCAACAGTAAACAAACGTCCAAGTATTGAATGTTTTCAATCCATTGTCACAGCGGAAATAAAGTATCCGTTGCATCCATAGTCTCGTAATAGCAATGAATACTCCGCAATGGACGCATAACACACGCTCTGAAGGGGAGTTCTACATTTTATTTAGTACCGAGCGAGCGGCAGATTGTGGTGATTGGATGAAAGTCCCCACCATCAAGCATCAGAAGGAGATAACGAAGTGATGGCGTATCATAAACCGATTGCAAATGGGTGCTCTGTGATCCATTAAACCTTCTCTTAAAGTAACTCACGGCAAAATAGGGCAAGAAAAATGTAGAAGTACGTGTCATCTGAAAAGATGACCAGACAAGTTACTAATATGTTTTATTACGTTCTTCCATTTGCTCTCATGCGATTTCGAACTAATGAAATCTTCTATCCTTGTTTTTATACGTCTATAGGACGACATGTAATATAAGTATTTTTTAGAAAATGTATTCGTATTGTAAATATCAGTGTATAGTCTTGGTCAAATCGTACGAAAATTGTAAACAAATGCGCTGGAATTATTAAATTGGTTAATATTAATTTAGTTATAAATACGCGAGTTGGTACATCCAATCTCGTAACCAACATTTTCTTTATCCGTTTTCGGAATAGGGCCTTATTTATTAATAACAATAAATAGTTTATCAAATATTAAAAAAATGATTATTCTTTATATACATTATGAAACGAGTGGCACACAATATAATCGAAATAAACGAAGAAATTTTATTGAATTCATTTATAAAACAAAATTATTTTGCCATATATTCCGCAAATAACTAACGTATTTGAAAAAGAAATATTAAAAAAGGTGTAATTAGAATAATAAGCAAAATATTTCATAAATAATTATAGTCAATAAAAAGTTCCCATTCCAAAATATCAATAAAATGTTTACGAGATTGGATGCCACAATTGCTTACAGAAATACATTGAGCAAACTAAAAGAAAATTTAAAAAGCGAATAGATGAACATAAGAAGAACATTTTGGAACTACCAAGTTCCAAAACATAGGATAAATGAAAATCACAAAATTGATTTCGAAACTGTAAAAAATGTAAACAAGAAAATAGCAAATTTCCCAGCTTAGTAACAGAAACTCTTAACATTAAATTGAAAAAAAATGAATTGAATTAAATAAATTAATCAATTCACAAACATATTTGATAATTTGATGTATTTAATAAAAGAAACTTTAAACAAAACTTATGGAAATACTCTAGGTGAAACCATCCCTCCCTCATACCCCACCTTTATCATTGTTTTTTTATTCCCTAACTCTCTTCAGCCTAGTTTGACCCATAACAAAAAATAACGAATATAGTCCTGGTATGCTGTGCAAATTAAATACACAATAATAAAAGCAAAGACGAATTAGAAGAAAAAGAAAAATTAAAAATATAAAGGTGATCACCATCATTATCTGCCACGCGTTTTAAATAAATTAAAAAATGTAATTATATAATACTATATGGATATGTATTTATAGTAGCTGATTATGGGACTAAGACTGGTTTCTGAAACGTCATGTAATAAAGAAAATATTTTATGAGATTTTCTTCATTTCTTACGAAACGTTTGACTATCTAAAAGTATATAAAGGACCACATATGCATAACGAAGTTTCCTCTGATTTATACGCTGGATTGCAAGCATATTGGCTTAAAATCTAGGTGTCTGTAACAGTTCAACATACAGATTTTTCGAAAAATGCAATTTTGCTGCTCCACGCAACCAATTTGCACGCACACGACAGCTTCATTTT